CTTTCCTCCCTCCCTCCCTCCCGCCTTTCCTCCCTCCTGCCTTTCCTCCCTCCCGCCTTTCCTCCCTCCCTCCCTCCCGCCTGCCCGGCGGGTTTGCGGTGTTGCCCCCGCTCCTCCCCGCGCCCCAGGGGCTCGTCCCCAGTGCAAAGGGAGAACCCACCCGATGAAACGCTTCAGGTCGGGGCGATGCTGGTCAGGCTAAGGGGGGTTTGCTGGCAGCCTGGCCTGCCTGCTCGCCAACCGAGATCCGCTCGGGGAAGGCTGGAAGGGAAGCAATTCATGGGCATATCCTGGTCTGAACGAACAGGTACATATTTGGATAAGCGTCTCTTTGCTGCCTGAGTAATCCTGCCCAAATCCCAACCCAGCACAGTGTTTGCTGAATGGGAGTTGCATGGACGAACATGTCTACTGGGAGCACGCACTGGCACCTTAGTCACTGTTCCCTCAGCAGCCTTAATGCAAGTGCCTGCTCAAGTCATGTTTTTACTTGAGAATTGTTCATTTCCTCTTTCTAAGTTTTCCTTATTATTTTTGGGGCAGTGTTTAGGAGTAAAAGTGGCCTGGAGCATAAGGAGACCAAGAGGAAGGGCTGGTAAAATACATACCTTCTTTTTTCAGGTCTCTCAACCTTCATCACATTTAAAAGAATACAGGTGTCTGTAAATAAAAACTTTGGTTTTTTTGTTTTGTTTTGTTCTTTGTTTGTGGGGTTTTTTTTTGGGGGGGGGTGAGGGAATGGGGGTGAAGGGTTACCAAAGGGGAGGTTATTTTACATACTGGCTAGAGCAGAATAACAAAAACAGGGAGTCTGATTGTGTCTCTGGCAGACACTTGCTGTCTACTTTAAAGAAAGAAGATTAAATTGAGGTAAGGTTTCTTGCTTCCCCAAGATCCTTCCCTGGAAGGGGCAAGGTGCAGCAGGGTAGCAGCAGCAGGGTTACAATACTGCTCACAATGCCCTGCTGTCTGCCCTGTGCTCTGCTTGACACCATGGGGCCATGCCAAGGGACTGGAGGCTGACTTGTTCTTCACACCTCTTTTGTTAATATAGCTGGGTGTTGGCTTTCATTTGGACGTAAGTGTTGTAAGACACTGAGCCCCTTCTCATTTCACATCAAATGGCTGAGTCGGGGCAGTTCCTAATGTTTTGTTGTGATTTTTCACATTCTTGGTGGTTTTTTAGTACTATTTATCATTTATGGGTTTTTTTTAAAATTTATTTTCAGCTTCACTTATCTAGGAGAATATTTATTTCTCATTTTCGGAAAGGTAAAGAAATACTTTGGGTAGCCAGGTTTCTTCCTTTTGATAAACTGTTAAAATTATTGTAACTATTAAAATAATAATTTTAACTATTAAAAGAAAAAGCTTTAAGGAAATGTGAACATTTAAGGTGTCACTTATTAACTGTATCACACAGTGAATGAACTGTGGGATGGAATACTAAAAGCAAGCACAAATATTAGCTGGGCCATGCACTGAGCAGAGTCTCAGCTGCCACCTGCCTTTGCTTACATAGTGGTGGTGGGAGAAGCTGAGGTTAAGGTAGCTCAAAAAAAAAAGCTGAAGGTCTGGGTGGCGTGGTCACAAAGAAAATGGCTCTTCACCAGGACTTTTAGGATAACACTAAGAGTTGGAGGTGTTTGGGCACTGGAATGATAGTGCATGTGGAGATCTGCACAGAGACAGGCTTAGATGGTGATGGGAGTATAAGAAAGGCTGATATGACTATGATATGAGCAGGGCAGAAGACATACTGCAGGATTACACAGTTGCCCTGGTCTAGCCACTGTTCCTTCTTTTCCCGCTTCCTGCCTCTTCCTTGTGGGATGTGTAACCAATGTCCCTGGAGAGAGCAGATGCAACTCAGCCAGGCTGCTGAGGTGGAGGGAAGCCAAGGTCCATCCAAAGCCACGCAGAAACCACTGCTAGTGGCTAGGAGAGAGCCAGCACTGCCCAGTGACTGCTGAGCTTCCCTCCCCACTGAGATGGAAAGGGAGGGAGGCTGAGAGAGAGGAGGATAGCAGGACCTTGCCAGACCTGTGTCACACTGCTGTGTTGCTGAAGGTGTTTTCCTGCCCCTGTAGAGGACCTCTCTGCTTGGAAGCTGGTGCGCTACAAGGTGAAACACCTGAGTGCAGACAAGAGGAACTTCAAATACAAATATACATGTATGTTTGTGGGTATTCACATTCCAATACACTATATATAACATTCTTTCCCCCAAACTGGTTATTGCAAGCCAGTCTCAGAGAGTCCAAGAGTGTGGCTATTGCATTCTGTAATGCTGGGTGACAGCAACAAGGCCAAGGGAACGATGCCCATCTAATCAGGGCTGCACACCCACAGGTCACGATGCAGGGACAGGTGGGTCAGAGCTGTTCTCCATATGCAGCTTCTGCCTTAAAGCCTTGCCAGGCCCTTCTGAGAAACCTGCAGCTGCATATTTAATATGCCATTCAGACAGTTTCAAACAAGGTCAATTCTATTAGGTCAAACATTGAACATAAAGAGTAAGCCATAAAGGAAAAATGAAACTGATAAGAAATTATAGAAAACATTTGCCAAGGCCTTTAAGTTTGTAAAACAAACATAATTTTATATATTTGAATGTAGATATGTGCAACTGTACACTGTTTCAGGTACATTAATTTAGTTACAGGCTGCAGAACACTACAGAGGACTTGTGTTAAATCCACATTAGAGGCAAAACAAAAGAATTAACTCTACATGAACTAACACATTAAAATATATCTTTATTTTAACAATGTTTTCAGTGATAAAAATCCACGTGGAAGACACATGTTAATCAACAGGTAAATTAAAACTATTCCAGGGTGTAGCAACATTCTGTAAATTCAAACTTTCACAATAGTAAATCAAACCCTTTCAGAGAGAAGTGAGAAGTCTATTACACAGAAGTGGAAATGATGTGAACTAAACTTATATACGGTGATCCAATGGAGCTAGTTTTCAAATTTGTCCGAAACTGATGTATAACCTCAAATGACATTGTGGCAAGCACTGGGTAGGCTGTAGTCCTTGTGGACATCATGGACTTTGTTTTTAAACACTGCATTTACCTTTGCAGTCTGCAGTTCTTCCTCAAAAGCCAGTGAGACTACTCGTGAGTGTGGCTTCAATCATGTCTGTGCATGGTCCAGATTACAAACTCAAATTTGTAAACTGAATTATGCAAAAAACAGTTTGTTCCTCATTTCAGCAAAAGATGAATCCTGCAGTTGGGCCACAACAACCCCATGTGACACTACAGGCTTGGGGAAGAGTGGCTGGAAAGCTGCCTAGCAGAAAAGGACCTTGGGGTTCTGACGGACAGGTGGCTGAATATGAGCCAGCAGTGTGCCCAGGTGGACAAAAAGGCCAATGGGATCCT